TATATGCACACACTATATATAAATAATGGTATATATTCGAATATAAGTTTTGTATACACGGCGTTATGTATTAAAAAAAAGGAAGGAGAGAAAGTTACACATATTATCTGTGGGTACATACATAATAATATAATATACTTATAAAAATCAATATATTTGTTATAATTATTATATTTATATTTCGTATTTAAAGCTGATATTAATGAATATGTGCTCTCACGTTATGTATTTGCTATTGTTAGTAGGTGATTTAATAGTTAGCTAACTCCTAACACAACTGTACACGCGAGTTCGAGTTATGTAGCGCCCAGGTTTTGTTTGTCGGTGCTGTGTTTGCTAATTTCATATTTTAGAATTTCTATGGAATTTTCGAATGCCAATTGTTTAGTAAAAATGAAAATTTTGGGTTATACTTACGGCGACTTAAGCTGTAACTCAAATAAAATTTGGTCAAGGATAAAATTAGCAGACACAAGAATTGTACGCGTGTTAATTTTGTTTTTTTTTTTTTTGGTTTTTCAGTTTTCTTTTTTCACTTTAATTTCAAACAATGATTTTTTTATTTATTTGTATGTTAAATATTTCATAAAGTATATACTGTATTTTTATTAATCATTAATCAATTAATTTTTCTTTTATTATTATTATTTCTTGCTCCGTTACGCTTCATTTGTATGTTATGAACATTTTTACTAATTTTTCAACAATTTTTTTTTTGGTTTGACATTTTTTTTGTTTTTCTTGTTACGCAATTATTCAACTTGTTAAAAATCTATAACCATAACAATTTCTCATTTATATATATATTTCTTGTATATATATATATATATAATCTTATATAAGTTGCTTTAAAGCGAGACTTTAACGACTCCCACTTGACAAGTGCGTGTTGGTGTGCGTTTTTTTTTTTGAGTTAGGATCTAGGAATTGAAAGGAGTTTGAGTTCTGAATATGATTGAACAATTGATGCTAACTACGCTGATTCCGATCTTGATTATTTTATGCAAATGTCTGGGTGTGTGTTAATTATTTTGATTTGATTGTTTGTTGTCTTTTGTAAATGTTAACAGACGCTGACATTTGTACTGCACTCTATGATTTGGGTAATCGGTTTTTAGAGAGAAAGTGCTTTGAAAGTAAATAGTAGTATACGAATATTCCATAGGAAATGCTCGTTGATTAACAATTTTTCATAAATTTTGTTAGGTTAGTATTTTTTGAGTTTTTTTTTTTTGGTTGAAATACTCTTTACTATAGTTAGTTCTACATAAGTTTTTGTACTCGTTCGTAGTACATTATAGAGAAAAGTGGGCGCGATATGTTTTAAGTGAGTGTAAATGAGTGTGTTTGTGTGTGTGTGTGTGTATGAGTATGTGCTGGATGTTATGTACTAAATAAGTAAGTTTGGTTGTTTTTAGTATTCATATATATGTTTATATATATCGTATAATATATATGTGTTTATATATGTTTATATAAGTATGTACTCGTATGCCTTTGGTTTTTGGTTTTAAATTTAATTTGGAAGATTATTGTTTAGTTTTAACCATATACAGCATGTATAAAAGTTTATGTTAATTGTTTTTCGATTTGCTTTTTAAGTACTGGAAGTTATCTCTTTTTGAAAGCAATTCAATTGTCCTTGGTTTTTCCGATTGCTTTACGTTTCCGAGCCCATTGATCTTTACGTGAGAGTGAGCGTCCGAGTTGAGAATGTTGAGAGAGTCTATTTATGAGATATACTTTATACATATATGGTCGGTTATAGATGCACACGAACTTTTGCGGCATGTAATTAAACAGTACAAGATTAAAAGTATTCGAGAAAAAATAGAAAGGTTTTTTGGAAGATTTATAAGAAGACTGCAACTCAGTTTAATAAGTTCCAGAAATCCCTTTTCCTCAAGTTTTCTATATAAATTGGTTACCAACTGAATATCGGTTTAAGGATTGTTATAGTTTTTGCTTGGCCTACTCTAAAAAGTCTTTCTAGACTTGATGTTACGCAGTGATTTACCTCTGAAGTGGTCAACGACTTTAGTTAGAGTTATATGACGACTATAGAAAACAATCAAATTATCATTATCAGATTTCATGATATATCATTTTTACTTTCTATAACAAATCCTTTTTATTGAAAAGACAGGAAAAGAATTAAAAGTAGCAAGCATTTCGAGATTTTAGTTAGGAGGGGCTTAGCTCGAGCTTTGAGGTCGTTGGCCTTGGTATAAGAAATAGTTAGATAAAAGCTTAAGGTGTTAATTTCGAAACCAAGTAGATTACTTTAATTAAACAGTATTGCTAGGGCTCGAAAACTGAGCTATTTAGTAGATAGTTAGATTCGTTTTGAAGAGAAATCAAGTAAATATAACTGCAATTATGTCGCTCTCAATGTCGCACCTTTCAAGTTCCTTGGCTTTTCGACCATATACGATAAAATGTCGAGTCTTGATGGTGGTGCGTGGTGGTTTCTGGTGCCATGTTGTAGCTGTGGTTTGTCGAGCATTTGGCTAAGCACGGTAGTTAGCGTGACGTACTTAATGTATGCCTCGTTGTATTAATACAATGTAAAAGTTTTATTTTTATTATTGTTTTTTTTTTATGGTATTTTGGTGTTCTCTGTTAATTTTTTGCATTGTAATTATAATCTCGTATGTATGTATGTCCATATAATAAGAATGTATATGTGCATTTATATGTGCACTGCACCACCCATGGGGTGTAAGAGCATACACACTTCTTTACCTTTCTAGGTACATATATATATATTATTTTCGTTTTAGGTATGTATGTATATATATATATAAGTATATCTGATGGCTTCGACTAGTCTATACAACAGCTGGGGCTAAACTCCGGTCGTCTCTTTTGCAATGTTTGTTGTTGTTGTTATTATGTTTCTTGGCCGTGCTTTAAAAAACTTCTTTTTTTTCTCTTAATTCCGTGGTATTATATGTAGTAGTATATATATATTAATGTATATATATATATATATATATAAGGTTATGTCACTGCCACTAGTTCTCATTTAAATTTATTCGCCTTCGCCTTGTTGTAAAAATTATTGCTTTCTGTTCTGTGTTTTTTTGTTGTTTTTGTTTTTGTGTTTGTTTCATGTGTGTGTTTTTATAGTATTTTTTGTTTTGCTTTTCCTTTTTTTAATAGTTTTTTTGGTTTCCTCAACTTTAATTTGCGAGCCATATGCAAACATTTTGGGATATCTTTGGATATATTGCCTACTTAAGTTACAGTTGCATATATATATTTATATATACTTTATGTTTTTATTATTTCTTTAATATAAAATATATATATATATATGTATATATAAGTATGTGTATATGTAATGCGTTTTTACGTTAAGTTTGTTTTTTATACTTTTTTGCTTCTTTTTGCTTGCGGCCACTTTTTTGAGTTTACGATTTAAGGTTTAAGGTTTAAGATTTTAGGTTTAGTTAAGAAAAATGTTACGTACGTTCTAAATAAAGAGAGCAAGTTTTTTCTTTGCTTAAATATTGTTTTTTTTTTCTTTTACATGTCGTATATATATAAATATGTGTATATGCTCATATTTGTATATATATATACACAGGGGATTGATTAGGAAAAAAGTATATGAAATAATAAATATCATTGTTTTTTTTTCGAATTGTTTTTTTTGATGTTGTGTGTAGTCTATCAATAAATATTGTTTAAATTGAAATAACTGCACCTTTGACACGCCATCAAGAATCATAAGTTTGAATCATAATGGTAATCATAATAATAATCATAATATAACAATAATGACTAGTCGTAAATTTTCGATCGAGCGTCATGTTTTAAAATTATGTATGACAAATGCTTAGCAAAATGTTTTATTATTTGTGTTTGTTTTCTTTTCAAAGTATTCCTAGTATTATTCATATATTAAGAGTTTTTATTTTGTTTTATTTTTGTTTTTTTTTTTTTGAGTATAGTTATAGCTTATCATTTTGTTTGTTTAATAAGTACGCAAATTATCACTTAATTAATATAGGTCAATATATAAGTAAGTATATATATGCGATGCAAGTGTGCGTGTGGTATATAAGTTTTATATATAGCATAAGTTTTGTAAAACTAGACTGATTTAGGCTCTGTCTGGCGTAAAGCTTTCTTTTTGTTTTCATTTTGTTTTTTCTTTATAGATTTTGGAAAATTACTAGAACAATTTATAGTAGAGCTGGCAAATAAAAATATTGGAGAGCGACAAGTGTTGGAACTAGGCTAAAAGGAGTTAAGCTCTGAAATTTTTCAACATACTTTTTATACATTTTAGAACACTTGCTGGTCTAAAAAGGTTTTTAATTTAACTCTCAGATAGTTCTTATCAGGCTAAGCAAATACTTGAAAATGTCTTCAACTACAACACAAGTTGGATCTAAAAGCCATTTTCGCTTAGAATTCTCAAACAGTTAAAGAGTCACTTGGCGAATCCATGCCATGTTAGAATTTTGGCACATTTTGTGATCTAAAAATGGAGGCCAATATTTGCTTACACTTCTCAAGCAGTAAAGGAAATCGTCTCAAAGTTTGAAAGATGCTGCCCAACACTTGCAGAGTTATAAGAAATATGCTCAACATAATAGCTGTCTTGTTTCGTAACGTACAGAAGGTGCTTGTGCCAAGTTAGGACTAAGATTTTATATAATCGTAATTAGTAGTAATTAAAAAACCCAAACGCTTAAGTAAAGTAATTGATTGGGAAGCCATTATTTTTGGTTTTTTTCTTTCTAATAAGTAGGTAATCAATTATGGATAAGTTTGTTAAGGTTCATAGTTCAAGTAGAGAGAAGGATAGATAGATAGATAAAGCTAAAGAGTTTTGTGTGTGTGTGTCTGTGTGTGTGAGTGTCGTTTTATAGGTTGTTGGCTCTCTTTTTTTTAATAACTGCTTAAAAAGCTGCGGCTAAACATTTAAAGTAAATGTCTCTTTTGTTGAAAAAGGAAAAACGCTGCACATAGCACTAACTAACTCGTTTTATTTTATTAAAGTTTACTTTTGTTGTTTTTGCTTTTTGTTTTGCTCATCGCATTCGTATTCGTTTTTGTTTAGTTTTTAAGTTTGCTTCTTCGTGTGTGTCGTGATTTATGCATGTTTTTAACAATTCGATTAGCTTAGTCAATTTGTTAATTTAATTCATTAATTTGTTTTGTATATAAATTTAGCTAATTGGTTTGCGCATGTACGTGTGTGTAAGTGTATATGTGTTTATGAGAGAGAGTGTGAAGGTGTGTGTCACATTTGTCTTTGTTGCAGTGTTCTGTTGCTGCAATTTTGCCCACATCTGTGGTGTTTAGAAGGGGCAAGTGATCAAATCATATTCGAACATCAGCGAAACGGCAACAAAGACAAAGTACAACAGAAACATGGTAAAGCCCAACCCCTTGTTCATGCGCCAACGGAAGCAGGCAATTGATAGCACCACAAATACGAGCATCATAAACAATATGGTTATGGAACAGACCATGCCCACCGAGTTCACTTCAACGGGCGCATCGTAGATAATCCCATAGATCAGCCAGGGTATCGGCAAGCTAAATATCCAAACATCAGATATAAGTCAAGATTAGTCTCTAGCCTCAATCTCAAAACTATATATATTTCTATATATATATTAAATGGTTCTTTCACTTACCCCACAGTCACATCGAAGATGTTGCTGCCCACCGAACTGGACACAGCCATATCGCCAAAACCTTTGCGCGCCACAATCACCGACGTTATCAAATCGGGTATAGATGTACCTGCCGCCAGGAATGTAAGGCCCATAACCTTTAGACGAAATTAAAAATAATCTTTTCAGTAAAAATAGGGCCAAATTGAACGTAAAAGTATTTAAAAATCAGTTTGAAATTGTTTAATAATTTAAGCAGAAATTAACTGAAAACGTATTTTTTATCGTATTATTATAAGACATTTTTTATAAGGCAGGACCCACAATAAATATCACATTTCTACACCTACACACCAGCCTGGGCTTAAAAAGAGTCTGAATAGATTTATATCTAGAATGATTAGAGTATATATACTTTAAATATATACGCACATCAGCACAATAATATTTGAAAAATTCGAAAGCTTGTAAATAATATGTGGTCTTAAAATCGATCTATAATTTTCTGTTCTATTGCTATTCATATGCGATCTATATAATTAATTATATATTTATATTCGTACAAGTAAATCTAAGTTAGTCTTAGTCTTTAGTTTTTAGACTTTTATAAAACAATTCGATATAACTTAAGAGAGCCCGCACACATATATTGACACTTATCTTTGATACAATGCATTAAAATGTCCATATTATAAATTCTTAAATTCTCAATTAAGCTGAACCTACCTCTGGGGGTATGCGCGCTGTGTCACCAATGACATTGGCCCACCAAACCATGAGGTAGGAAAAGGCGGCTATCCACACGATGGAGCCTATAAAGGTGACCGGAAAGAAACGTTTGCCGCGCGGAGTGCGCGTATCGGGCAACGTTAGCCACATGGGCACCAGAAGTGGGGCGACCAGGACGTAGGTGAGCCGCTTGCGAGCCGTATCCGGCCAGGCCATGCTCAGGGGCTCCGGATCGTCCTCGATTATTTCAGGCGCCTTTCATTTTGTATATAATATGGATATGAATATATATATTATAAAATGTTAAAGTTGAAGCTTGTGCGGTGCTTTTATTGATTTGTTTTCTTCTTTCTTTTCTTTTTTTGTTTTTTTGTACAATAAATGTTGACTTCAAATAAGATTATGTATAATAGAATAATATATATATCGTATGTAATTTGTTAGTATATAAAATATATATTTATGTGAGTCTGACATGAAAATATTGTATGATATATGTCATTTGGCTATATGTATACATATGAGACTGTTGATAATACGAGGTATGTTTTGTTTTTATCAGATCAAGAGTTTTGAGCTTGATTTTGACAACAGATTTCGATTTGTGGAGACGCACTCACAGACAGGCGTTTAGAGCTTTGCATAGCCATAAGGACTCTAGGTAAGTACGTCATTAGGTAAAATGGTGCGTATAAAAATTAGTACAAGTTAAGTGTTGCCAGAGTCTAAATAAAGTGTATTTTTTTGTGTGTTTTGTTTAAGTACAAACACAAACAGTTATGCACTTACTTTCTAGTTAACGAGTACAATTTTTAGTAGGTGCTATACGAGTTTTGTAACGTGCACAGATTTCAGCATCTTAGTTCTTATTAGGCATGCTCATAGTATTTGTTTTTGTTTTGGCTAGTGCAAGCATACATACATTGACAGGCTACACACACACACACACACACACTCTCAATGGATGCGCATGGGCACAGCCCGAACTAAAGTCGATCAAAGTGTAACGAAAATAGAAAGTAAAATATGTTAAATATAGTTATACATATGATGATTCGAAAAATTACTAGTTAGCTAGAGTTAAGAGTGTGTAAAGCTACGATTTTTTTATAAGCGGCACTAAAGCAATGTGAGTGAAAATACTCTTAACATTTGCAATAAAGCAAATTAAATAAGTATAAAATTCGTTGATATATATTCTAAGCTAGTTGCGTCTGTGGTAATTGTTTTACGCTCCTGGGCAATGGTTGCACTGTGGTTGATGACAAGTTACGCCATGACGTCATTCGAAATGTATCGAATATTAAATTACGTATTGTTCAGTTTTACCCAAATGAGTCATAATTAGTATAAAATCGAAGAGTGGGGATAATCATGGTCTGTTCTATGAGTAGGCTCAAAGACATGTGCTACACGGGTGGCTCTACGCGTGCCAGCTGTTTTTCCATATTGCAGCCTACGAGTAGAATCCATATATAGTAATTGTGAAATTAAGATATTCTCTATATATTAAGTAACAATATTCACACCCGATTTTTTAGCTGAGTTGCTCTGCTTTAAGCTCAGTTAAACTTTTAGCCTTGTGGTCACATTTAAATTAGATTTACGATATTCGAACTATGCTATTTATTTCTTGCAGCGTTTTCACATATTGCATTAACAACACTGGATATATTATAATTACGATATTCGATATCGTGTTATTCGCTGTAAGCCCAGTGCGGACAGTAATTACCCCACAAATTTTTCAATATTTACTCAACAATATTTAGGTTTAACGCATTATCTAAGGCCCCACCCATATTTACGATATACCTGTCTTCCATCGAATTATAGTCACGGACATAAGCAATTAAAATATTCAAATCGATTATATGCAAATTGATAATGCCGATTGCCTCATCTTCTAGACAGTTGGGTGCGAGAACCTATTTGATCCACTGCCATTTGCCACTTGCTATTGCCCTCGCATTCCACTGCGCAGGAGAGTTCAAATCAATACGCTTGCGCTTTACAACAACGTCAGACTCGTCTCTGTTTGTCGCTGACGTCGCTTTCTACACAATGCAAAGATATATATATTTATAATTCTTACGATATTTGTAATAAAAAATTATAATAATAAAAATTTGTATGCAATATATAGAGAAGACAGAGATAGAGAGATAGAAAGAGAGAGCAATAAATAAATTGTTTATGAAACTAACTTTGATGCTAAATTTGCGTGTCTGAATTTTGACCCTCTGCTCAATCCAGCTAGGACGTCGACCACTTAACGATGGCTTTTGATATAGAATTGAATTTAAGTTTAGAATTCATTTAAATCATTCTTTATTTTTAATTTTAAATATTTTTTTAAGAAAATTAAATATTTTTGGTTGAGAATATTAGTGAATTTTTGCCTTTTTGCTTAAGTTTTTAGTTTCAGCTATGGAAATAATACTTGATTAATAAACCAAACACTGTTTAGAGACAGATAGACAGACTGGGAGATAGATAAGTTAGATAGAGAGAGAGAGACAGTAATGGAAAGTTGTGTTAAGGGAGTTTTCTTGTTCTGGGTTATTACATAACAAACACATATTGAACGGGAATCGAACACAATTACATTTTTTTTTGAGTGTGGGACTGTGGAGAGCATAAGTGGAATTTATTTATTTTTTTTTCTTGAAATTTTGTTGTGTTTTTTTCAAAATTTAGTTTTTAATTTCGTGACTCAGGCCCAACTCGGAAGTGGGTTCAGGTTTCAATGTCGATTGAGAGTCGCATTCAAATGAAACATATATTGTATAGAGATTGAATTGTTTTTGGATTGTCTTTGAATTTTGTTTGTTTGCTTTGTCATCTTAATGCACAAATCAAAAATAAATTAAAAAATAATTATATATTAATATGAGCAGCTGCTTGGCCCAGTGCTAGCGCCTATGCATTAAAATTCATCTTTAATAACAAAATGTCAACAATAAAAATTAACGATATTTGTTACAAGCACACACACACACACAGTTAGATGATTGTGTTGTGGGTGTGGATACGATGGGTGTGTGAGATTGGCAATTGCATAGCGTAGCAAGTTTCTGGCACGGCGCGTGGCAGCTAAAAATTGCAATGAGTGCCTGGGAATGCCTGAATAACTGATTATTGAAATGACTTCATCGAACAGCAGCAGCGACAGCAGCACAACATATGTATGAAAATATGAATGAAAATTCATGTTCGATATAACAAAAATATGACATAATATTGTGAATATTAAACATGGTGTTTGGTTTTGTCTAATTTGGTTTTTGGCTATTATTATTAAATGCGAGTTGCCATCATTCGTTTAACACTAGGCAGTACGTTTCAAAATTCAAGATACAAAGCAAATGATTGGTTCCAAATGGTGTCTGCAGAAACGATAATCGTAAAATTGGTTAAAATTTGACAATTCCGTATTAGCTCTTTATTAGTTTTATAGAGTGTTTGGTTGAGGGTTAGGCAAGACACAGAACACACGCACACACAGAGATAGAGAGAGAGAGATGGACAGATAGAGATAGAAAGAGAGAGAGAGATGAATGGAATGGTGGACATGGGCGATAGAGTATTACAGTTAAGGTTATAAGTAAACATACACAACAAAAGGTTGGTGAATAGCTGACGGGCTGAGATGAGTTGTAGGTGGGAAAGTTGTATGGAAAATTGATATAATTAAGTTGAAAGTAAAACGGAAAGATTTTAATTTATAAGTCACACAGAAACGTTGCATAAATACACAGAGACCGCATATGTTGATTTTGTTTTATTTTTTTAAGGGGCTGTCTACACATTTAAGAGTTGAGCTTCATAGAGAGCAAAGAAAATGAGGGAAACACATAAGAAATACACATAAAACGAATGCCTGGGCTTACATTAAAAAACATACGTGTTTAAAATTTTGGTTTTACGAGTAGTTTAGGTTCAGTCCAAACGCATCAATTATTTTACCAATCTATCAATCAATTAGCAATGTAGAGAAAACGTGCCAACAGTTAAAGAAATTTCTTGTAAATGATCTAAAAAAATGTTGTAACGCGCTTGAACTTGGTACTCTAAACTCTGGGTTAGAAAATAAACAGATCAGAAGATTTTTAAATAAAATATGTAATTACGTCAATTAAAAACACAACATATTACGGTATATACGCAATTCTGTGGAATAGCTTGACCTAACACTGTAAATATTGTAATTAAATACGCGTTTGAGTAGCGCCACATACTACATTTTACAGCTGCCGTTTTTTTCAACATACGATATTCGACCTAACGATATTCAACTTTTACGATATTCAAATTAAACGATGATCAAAATTTAAGATATTCATCTGCGATATTTTGTATGACGAATGCAGCGCATTATGTGTGACATAGTTCAATTAATTTTCTAACAAATTGAAACCATATCAAAAATAAATATGATAAAGAAATCCATTAAAAAGAAATTAATATAAATCATGCCTAGAAATCATGAGCATTATTTCATTAGCACATTTGTATTATCAAATTGAATTATCATGTATATATAGATGTAGTATAAAGCAATAATATCACAACGTTACAACTTACCGAATCGAGCGTGGTATCGATATTTCCATTGGGTCGATCGGCCAATGTTGTCTCCTTGAGATTAATCTTGACATGATTGGCCGCTGAGGTGGTGGCGCCACCTCGTTGCGGCTTGGTGGCATCCAGCAGTACTTTAAGCGAGGCAATGGCATGCAGCTGGGTTGCCTTCTCGTCCACTTTGCCTGGAACATCATCTTTGTCATTGTAATTGTGTGTTGGGTTTTTTTTTGAGGGAGGTGTTTCGATAAAAAAATGCATACACAGAGTAGAGTGTAGAGTATGTTTGTGTGTTGTTGTTGTGGTAGCAGTAGAAGAGTAGAGTAGAGTAGTAGGCGGTGTTTTTGTAGTATTTTGTTTTTGTTTGCACACAACAAATTGAGTTTTGAACGCAAAATCCAAGTGTTTATTATTTTTTTCAAAAATTAAACGAATAAAAGAAGAAGAAAGAAAGAATAAAATTGCATCGATTAAAAATTAGAATAAAACGAATTAACCCAGTTAAATATATTTTTCATATATTGTTTTTAAAAATATTTTTCATTGGTTTTGAGTTAATTTACAAGCAGCTAAATGCCCTTTTTTTTGGGTTAGAGTATATTGAAAATATTTTATACAAAATGTTGATGTCAGTTGCGAAATAGCATTTTGGAGGTTGATTATTATAGTATGTAATAGTAGTAGTAAAGTAATAGCTAGTAGGTTAGAAACTAAACTAAAGTTGAGGTATAGACTAGAGAGCGTAGAGTTTAGAAAGCTAGTAGGACAGTGTAGGCACAGACACACATAAAACAGCATTGAAATCGAAGCATAGTTGAGGGCGGAGTTGCGCACATGAGTGTATTGAGAGTGGTTGTTAGAGAGGGGGCGGGGTGGGGGTGGTTAATTGGGCTGGGGGCATACGAAACTACAGCTAAGACTAATTATGCTAGATATAATTACTAAACGAATACACTACTGATATTTACCGTGTCAGAGTCTCATGGATTTTTGGTCTAACTTTTTAAAATTGTTTTTATATTTTTTTAAATGTTTTTTTTTCTTTGTTTTTTTTTTTTTTTTTGAGTGTGACAGCGATCTTGTGTTTTGCACTAGGAATTGGGAACTGTTTTGAATAGTTTGTTATTAAATGTTGATTTGTTTTTTTGTTTTTGAAAATTTTGAGGCTTTGGATTGAATGCGAATTAATGTTGGCTTGGGAATACGGACGGGTTTGTATTATTTATTATTTTTCATTTGTAGTTTTTTTGTTTTTGTTGTCAATGTGGCATGAAGTGATACATAATGGGGCTTGTAAACCGACTGCTGCTGCTAAAGAGCTGCTTTTTGTGGACCCCATATTATGGCATATGGCACTAGCATTTTGTATACACATATACATATGTGTTCATATCGAAAGAATAGAGATAAACTTAGATTTAAGCCTAACTTACAATTAAATATATACTATTATAAATAAGACTTAGCAAGATCTAATATATATGTATAGTTTGCTTGTTATGCAATTTCTTACACACGAGTATTATATATGCCGCTGTTTATACGAGCAACATTAACCACATGCTCTTCAGATGAATAAAGCACAAAGCATTACGTAAATGTGATGCGAATTATACATTCGGATAGCGCTGAAACATTTTTTTTTTGATGTGCATCACAATAGCAAACTAAATTAATTTATCGTCAGAACAGAAAATGATCTTTGGTTCATCTCGCAATTCTCAACAAGTAAAATCTTCGAAAATGGGACAAGGTGTTTGCAATCTACAGTTGACAAAAATGATTGCTGATGATCGAACGAGGAGGTGCTTAAAAGCCATAGACTACCTGCGAAATTCTTGTTTGTTTGGTTATTATTTACAGAAAATGAACCAACATTGAGCTCAAGCCGGCCAGCTTAATATTAGTGTTCTATTAAATAAGTATATTTAGATCTAAAGAGTTTTGCAGTACAGTTATGTAACACTATGAATCTTCTAGTGCTGTAAAACGCAGTCAAGGATTTAGATTTATTAATTGCAAAATAAAAAAGCAGCTTTTTACAATTTGAATTTAGAAAAAAACTGTAGATAGAATATTGCGGTTTAAACAACGACTTTTTCAGTGTTGTAAAACTTGTGGTATTCAGATTTATTATTGGAAATGCGGTAATATTTGCCAGGCTTATAATATTTTCCAATTACAAGATAAGTACGTTATCTCATGGATAGAAATTATTTTTAATGACGTTTAAGTATTCAATGGGTACAAAAATATTTGTAAGTCTTTTAAGAGACTTGTTTGAATAATTCTTATGTGCATGAAGCAATAGCTTTTTATAGGTTTTTTTTTTATATTTTAGAAAACAGTTTTCTGCTTTATTTTTGAAGAACAAGTCTTAATTAAAGTAGTTGTTATTGGTAAATTTGCAATTACAGAAATCAAGTAATTAAATGCACGCAACTGGTTTTAGTATTGATCAATCTTTGTTTTAACACGATAACTGCTTTTGAGGGACTTTCCGAAATGCCGATAGGGCTGACTAAATGGGACTGTTACTAAAAAAAACATGTATTAAATATTGACAAAGTTCACTATAATTTCATTGTTTCAACGCATCTCCCGTAGTATAACCGTCATATGTATTTTTATATAGCCACATTACGTATAAAGCACATTTGAAAACATATGTAAACATTGTCAGCACAATGAACATTCCAATGATAGGTAAATATAAACGTTTAGACCTAAAGAAAAAATTAAAAACACAACCCGCTCGACTAGTCAACTTGATACATGCAGGCACCTAGCTAATAACTTGTAGCTATTAAGTACAATTGAATATCTGATAGATTGTAGCTCGTACTAGGCCCGGGCCAATTTCGAACAGCATTTTTGTAAAGCCAATTGTACTAGTTGCTAAGTAATTACAATTAACACATACAACATAAAATGCACACATTGTTTATAAATATGTAAGATATATAGATATAAATGTTATATGTACAATATAAATTATTTTGTTATTGTCACGCGTCAAACTTGACGGTGGAAAAAACAGAAGCACAAATAAAACCAAACATAACACTTCATACGAAGCAATGGAACGTTGGCAACCAAAACAATCTTAAAGATACAGATACAAATACGAATAACTATTCACTCATAAATATAAACGAGTGTATTCTTACATTCGTTAATGCCACTAAACTGCGCACAACATTCTAGGAATGTCTATCGAATACAAGTTATTAAGTATTTCATAAATATAGTTTAATATATAACGCATATGTATATAGTATATTAATGTAACTCCAAACTGACATTGAACAACATAAAATATTTTCGTAACTTGGTTTCATTTTTTTGTTTTTGTTTTGTTATTTTTTTTTCAAAGCAAAATTATATAAAGAAATGACTAAGCTCGAAATAATAAAAATAGAAAAGCAAATTACATTTTAATGAGGCAGCACAAATGAAAAGATTTGGCATTGAAGCTTTAGAAGAAAAACTAATAATAATTTAATATAAACTAAGCAATATTTGGAAATGCTAGAGACAAGATAAACCCGCAGATATAGGTAATGTAGAGATAACTACAAAGAATGCCCTGTGTTAAAGAAATTAGATCAAAGATTTAATGATCCTTGTTTCAAATTGATTTCTATTTTAAAATTTTTCCCACAAGATCATAATCTCACTGTCAATTAATTTTGTCGCTATCTGTGCGAGAATAAAAAATGACAAAAAGAATTCGAGCACTTTGTACCTGTAAACCTTGGTACACGCCCCAATGTCGGCCTGGCCCTGGCTTGTTTGGTTTAGTTTAAGCTTTGGCTTCAGCTTTAGTTTGAGTTGAAGTTTGAGTTTGTCTTGGTCTTGGTCTGTGGGCCATTGCCGTGGCAACGTGGCCCCATACATATTTATACCCCAGCCCATACCCGTACCAATGCTCATACCCCAATCCAATCCAGTCGGCTCTGTGCTTAATACATAATAAATCAATGCGAGCACGTCCGGTGCCGGTGCCGGTGCCGCTGCCAGAGCCAGAGCCAGAGCCGAAGCGAGCAGCGAATACGTGCCCCCCAAATGCCAGGGAAAAGCTCGGCATTAAGGGGTAGACCAGAACTGGAGAACTAGGCTAGGGATTGGTAATGGCAATGGTAATGGGTGCAAGGAGTGTAGAATAAAGAGTAAAGAGTATAGCGCAAAGCTGTCAATTGTCGAGCGCTAGACGTCGTTCTGTCTGGCCGTGCTGCTAGCCCCTGGTAATTAGATAAGTGGCCTCAAGGTCAGGCATTAAAAACTAACCAGCCCAAAGGTCAAGTCAACAAAGAAACTGAGCGACAAACAAACAAACAAACAAAGCAATGTACAACAAATGAAACAAAATGAAAATCAGCAAGTATTCAAGAGAGAAGGAGAGAGTAAAGAGTAAAGTGTAAGTAACTTCTTGCTAGCAAGTCAAACATCCAATTAGAAGGAACACAGAATATACACAGACTTTAAAGAACTGAACACAAAGTATTTTTTATTTTTTTTTTTATTTTAAGGTTTATACTCTTGCAGTGGGAAAAGAAACATCACTATATATACCTGATTTTGATAAAGGTTGATTTTATATAATTTTCCATGTCTTAGTTATATAAAACTTTGCATAGATCAAGGCAGTACATATTTCGGAGTCAGGCAGATCGGAATACTGTATCATCTAGTAAGAAAAACTTCTTTGTTTTCCATGTTACAAATCAGAACAGACCTAAACGAAATAGTTCGCATATCTACCACATGCCTGCAAGAGTATTTAATCTTCGGCCAGCCGAAGCAAACAATATTTTTTTTTCATTTTTAAGAGTTAGGTATAGTATAGTATAAGTAGTTGGTATAATGTATTTGCTTTTGTTTTAGGATGTAAGCGTTTGGGATATTTGTACTTTGGGGCGGGGAACTCTTTGATTATGGGGCTTGGGGAAGGGGCTGGGGTTTGGGTTTAGGCACACATTAAAATTTTCCTTTTTTTATTTTTATTTTTTTGACTTGTGCAAAACACAATGTGACAAACTCAACGAACTTACCATCGTGTAGTGGATCTATCGTGTGTATCATTAGCTGTAATAGGCCATGACGGAATTTTGCACCGGTCTGTGTACTACCAGCGGTCCCACCACTGCTATTACCTGTAGCGCCCGCATTGCTCGAACCGGCCGGACCCGAACGGGTCTCGCTGGCCGCTCGGGATGTCACCGAACCGCCCGGCTGTGTGGCCATTGACGTTTCCGATGAGTTTGCCGCATTACCCTGAAGTGAAGGAAGAACGATGGACGGGTGGTACGGTTACGGTTACGGTTACGGTTATGTTGAGAGTTCAGAGGTATTTCAATTTTATTTTCATTTCATTTTTTGTTAAGAGCAGTGTTAATGGTTTTTTTTTTGGGGAGGTTAGGTTTGTTTTTGATGGTAAGCATTTTTTGTTGTTGAGAAAAAGGTGAAAAGAAGAAGAAGAAAAGTTTATTATTGCAATTTGTATAAATTTACAGTTGAGTGTTGAGCGTTGATGTTGTTGTTGTAGTTGTTTTCTTTTTTTGTAAAAGTTGCTGTTTTGTTGTATGTATTTTGTTGTTGTTTTCAGCTGTTGTATCGCTTAAAAGCTAATCGAATTGTTAAGTGCAATTAATTGTAGCCAATATTTAGAAAAAGAACCGAAAAAGTTAACTAAAAAAAATTATATTAAGAAATGAGCTTCATATGTGGAAACCACGACACGTAATACAGACAGATACAAATTTTTTTTTCCAGACAAACGGACCACAACTGTTGTCTTACTAAGCTCGGCAGCTCCTATATAAGCCATATACCAAGTTTCGTTATAATAATAATGCCATAATGCCATATTCATGGTAAGAGGTATTCTAATGCAAAATATCAACTCTGCTTGTTGTTGGAATAGCATTAAACATAGTTTTGTTCTAGTGCAGCAAAAATGTATGCATTTCAAAAGTGCAGCAAAAACCGTTAAGGAGAGTTTTATATATACAACAGGATTGGTATTTCGATAGTTAGGTGCAAACAACTGGAATCATCGGGTGTAATCAGCAGGCCCAATAACAAAGCACCACAGTTGATGATGTGGCTTCGCGCTAGAAATGAATTCCATTACCTCTGAATTTTGAATTTTTAGTGGTTTTCGGAAACACACAAAAAACAAAAAGAAGGAAAACCAAATTATTAAACACAAATATTATTACACATACAGGAAATAAAGTTAAGGTTTTTAGTTCAACTAAAATATACAAATTTCATTTTCTTTTTTTGCAACTGTTTTTAAGTATACATACAAGCTTCAGTTTTCAATGAATTTTTTTTTTGTATTTTTTTGTTTCATTAGGAAAAAAAATGTATATATATACTTTCTTTTTGTATTATCAAAGCGCAGTGGGAAGTTTTGTTGTATTTCATTTTGCCTTCACTATAATCAAAAAGTAAACATAGAAAACTTAAAAACATTTGAAAACTTTGAATATAATGCAGAAATAAAACTTAAAGCTCAGATTTATGACTGCCAAAGAAAGCTCTAGAAGTGCGAAGAGAGAAAAAATCAAAATTATCGCTAGCTAAATGTATGAAAATGTTGAATGGCGCTAAGTAATGACTAATATATATATATATAACTATCAGGTGATAATTAGTTAAGATATAGTAGATACATGTCAAGTACGTATATAGATAAGAAATTCTTTGTTAATACATATTTTATAAGAACTACATATGTTATATATAGCTGTGTGTGTGTGACTGTTATGTGAACTGTTGTGCATATGTTAACAGAACACGTCTATCCAGATCGTATTCCATTCATAAAAAATCACTCAGAGCAATAAATTGGAGCACGTGTGTAGTAAATCCAGCTTAAATAAAGTACACATATATACTTAGTATACATATATTAAAACTGGTTTATCCCGATCGCATTTCATTCATAAAAATCAGTAATTAAGAATTGCTGCGAGTGTAGGGCAAGTTAGGTTAAAGAATATATATTATATATAGAAATATCTGTTTGTTAAAGAACAGGTATTTCCAGATAGTATTTCATTCATTAAAAGTCAAATCCAAATATGTGGGCAAGTCCAGATTAGAAAATTTCTTGTAATATACATATTTAATGTCGCGAGCAATGCATGATTAGAAAATACTCGATTTACTTCTATATCAAGATATAAGATTAGTTATTGTTGGGCTATCATAAGACTTGATATCGTAAGCATTTGTTTAAGCAACACGTTTATTCAGATTACATTCCATTTAAAAAATGTGCGGGCTATGAACTGCATGAACTTTGTCTATACATCACGCCTATTCAGATTATGCTCCATTTATAGAATCTAAGAGCTATGAACTGTGGGAAAAAGAATACATATATTTAACATAATATAATAAGACTATTTGTTTGGCTATAGAACTTGTCCAGCCACAACGCCTTTCATTCATACAAATGAACGCACAATTGGAGCAAATGCAGTTTAGCGAATTCTTGTAAAAATACATAAGTTTTATTACATAGATAATAACATAGATACATATGCCACTTTTAAGAACTGGGGCGTGTGTAGGGCAATTCAAGATCAAGAAAACTAGCCTCCAACTAACTAGCCTCTGGCCAATTAACGTGTGGCTCGTGCCCAGGTGAACTACCTCATGGCTGATTATAATGCTAATTAATGGCAAGTCATGTTGTTTTGCCCGATCGAACGCTTAGACGACAGCCCGCCTAAGACTCATACGAGTTACGATAAAAACCACTCGGCAATGACGTAAAATTGATGAGGATCTATGAAATGATCGAGTCAAGTCATAAAAATAGAAAGAGAGGGAAAAAGTTGGCAGAAAGAATTAGTAATTGTCTCGAACTGCATTTAAAGCTGTTCCTTCAAGATGCCAGCTTGTTTTGATAGACTTTGACAGCAAAATGAAGCGTAATTAATATAAATGAAGCCAAATGAAATCTCTCTTCGAATCCAAGAGCTGTGGAATCATGCCAAAAGCATTTACATTAACACAAAATTCATCAGCGCAACGTCAGTTACTACAGGTGCTTAAATCGCATAATAAATTTTATTTAAACTCGCGTGAATCATTTGCGCACAATTTCAAAAACTCAACTCAAGTTCGAAAATTTCGCCCTGCCAAACGACAAAAACAAAAAAAACCAAAGTCGACCCAATGATCTAAGAAATGTAAATTGCAAAATATACAATGAACCTGCTCGAACTGTTAATCAAAAAGAGAAAAACTCACAACACGACTCAATTTGTCACTCGACCAGTTTTGGTTCAAGATATATACATATATATATATATATATATATGCATATATATAATATATACATGTATTCACTTGTCACCTGTCTCTGTGGGGCAGACCCCGAAACCAGTTCCAAGAATTAATGCAGATATTCCAGGGATTTTGTTTACGTTCAAGTCGATATAGTGATACGACTAGCTAATGCATATAGCCAGCTGATATCGATAAAAAATAAAAACCAGAGAGCAGCCTCTACCAACTCGTCTAACACCGACTAAAGATAACTCGCGCGATTCGCAACGCTTCGGTTTTCGCTTTGACTCAGAGTCTGTCATTCTCTGTCGCCGTCTGAGCTCGGGCTTTGAGCTTGGCTGCATTGATCGTTGATTTGTATTATATAGCTGGGTTATGCGCTCTGTGCACATCATTTAGTAACGAATCTTGAACCCAAACGCAACGAATATTAAATTTAAACGGAACGCGAATGTGTGTGGAGCGTGCGCGCGTGTTTCTTTGACTACGAAAAACAAATACAAAAATGTTTCAAAAAAGGATTATCGAATTGTTCACGCTGCTCTTTTATTGGATGGTCATCACGCCAGCCATATATCAATATTGCAAGACCCAGAATTGGATACGTTGGGATCTAAATATACCATTTCAATCATTCTCGGATCATGCCACATTCGCGCTTTGCCTGCTCGCTGGCTATGTGACCTTTTATCGCATTGTTATTTTTATCTACATGAAGCTGAAAGTGTGCGATGTTCAAATGTGGCATAAGCTGAAGAAAACTCAAGAGGATCCCGAATCGCAGCTAAAGGATAAATCACATTATCAGGCTGTATCTACAGAGAATCTGGACACGGTTGATGGAGGAACAGCAAATACCATGCCGAAAGTCATACGCACCATAAGCCACCCACTGCTGGTGGAGAGCGATTTGGCGCGTATTCATATCAAACACGAGACGCGTCCGCTGCGCAGCGCCACATTGCCCAGACAGCCGCAGCAGACCGCCATCTCTAGTCCCACGCCCAGTTTGCGGTGTGCACCGCCTGTGCCCAACACGCCGCCCCGCACACCGGGAATGGCCCGCAAGCTGAGCCATGGCATCATCATGTCACCCGATGTCCTAATGGGCACCTCGCAGCAGCTGAGACCAACCATGGTCAAGACATAGGATTCACTTCGGTTTACTTTACAGAGACAGATAGAATTCGCATTCAAGTATTAGCCTTAGCCAAAGAACCAAAGATAAACCCAATTTTATTCGCAATATTTGTCGAGACACAATTTTAGCCAATTTTTTCCGAATCTAACTTACATGGTAGCTCTTCTTGTAACAAGGAATAGATCATATAGTGAGTTATTATTTTTTTGTTTATATCATTTTAATGTTAGCTAGCGAATACGAGTACTTTTGCGAGTACTTTTCGAAATTTAGTTGCATATATTTATTACCTAGTTCTAAGTTCAGATTTCATTATCTGATTATCTATTAAAAATATATATGTGTATGTATTATATTATTATATGAGATATGCTATAATAAACGGATGTTCTAGCTGCATAGAAAAATTGCAAGCTCGTTAAATAAACAATTCATTTTCTTTCTATGGGGGATTACACAATGAAACGTAATACCTGTGCAGAGGGGATTGCACTTTGAAGCTGGTAAATTTAGTATATCGAATCATATACTTAACGTTCAATATATTTTTGTGGCAGCAAGTATTTTCCAGATGTAATTAAACAAAACGAAGAATTCTCAGCATTTATAAAAAATTAACTAGAGTGAAAAGAAAGACATTGCTGTCGAATTTCAAGTATTAAATGTGTTCGATACATTTTTCAACCTAACAAAGTGTAAAAAAAAAATACAATTTTGAAATGATTGCTCCTGTGAAAGCTTTATGATAAATTTGCTAAATAGTTGATAAGCTATTAAATCTGGGAAGTAAAGATTGTAATTGACGAATTTGATCAGCTTAGTT